AATAATAATAATAATAGTTTGGCTTTTGTGTAATGTCTTATAATTGCTATACTGAATCCCTAAATCTTATGATTTTATGTTTGTTTGTTTATTTAGCCTATATGAATCATTATTCATGTCCATATTTTGTTTAGTTTTATTAATAGTTTTTCTATTGTATACATTTTAATCTTTTTAATGCTATTGTCATAAACTACCTTTGTGTCTTATTTCATTGATTATTTTTACACCTAGTCTCCGTCACTTATTTTTATGCTGCATTATGACATTTTACTTGATTTACAAGACCCATGTTTTTCTGAAAAGCAAAATTAATCTTATATTATTTAAGACCAGAATAACTGTAAATATAATACTGATCTTAACACAAACATGGGAAATAAATAAATACAAATTGTACGTTTTTTCCTAAATTTATGTAATTATGTAAAAGTATTGTTTGTTTGTTTATTTTTTACATATGTTCACTTTGTATATTTGTTGTTCTTATTCATTATTTTATTTATTTTGAACTGTACAACAATACTTTATATTTGCCTTGTTCTTTTTGCACTGTATTTGACTCTGATTGAACAAAGTACAAGTACAAGTACAAAAAACGTTTATGTTTGGTATTACTTTCAATCTCTTCTAAATTATTCTTTTATTGCCTTGACAAATCCTTCGAATAGATTCTGAATATTCTTAAAAGAATGATTTATGATTAAATACATATTTTTTTTAATTCACTTTTAAATTCTCTTCTAGAATGAAACAACATATTTCAAAAGACCCATTCACTTCTTTGCAAATCTTATAACATTATTAATTCATGTATATAAACAGCATCTCTAACTTTGCATGCTGTGGTGAGAAATTTCTGTAAAAGCTCAAACATTAGAACTACAAATTGTCTGCTGTATTTCAAGTGAATTTGCTGTTATAATTTGTGTTGGCTTTATTTTGTGAAGTGGTTTATGTGAGCAGAAGTCAAGGCAGAGTCATTATGATCCGGTATGTGAGTCACTGCTGATGCTCGGGAGCGGCTCACAGGGACGTGGGTTTGAGTCCAGTGTGCGTCACGGCCCTCTGTCCTCCTT